ATTGGCTGTGCCCACTGACAACTGGCCTCTGATTACCTTGAAGGATCAGCTGTGTTGGGGCCTACCACACAGAGCAAGACTTACTTCAGCAGGGTTCTTTTACCCACTGAGTCTGCTCATTGAGTGTGTCACTTGAAGAGGTGATTGGGTAGTGGTGTTTCAATGTGGTCTGAAGCTATCCACTGGGTGTGCGGGCTCTGGGGCAAGGTCAGCCACTGCCTGTGTTCTATCCTGAGCCACCTGGCATAAGCTACAAGATGATCTGCTGATGGATGCTTCTTGTGCTCAGCTTGGAGGTGCCCAGGAAAAGCCAAGTTGTGAACCAAGGCTGGCTGCTTCTAATGCCAGGTCTGGGGCCATGACAGGTAGGGGGCTCGCTGAGACCAGATTCTTCTTGTTCAAGAGATTGTAGGAAACTCTGAAGCAGGATCCAAGACAGGCCAATCCTATGGGAAAGCCTTTGGAAATAGCTTGAGTGGGTCTGAAAGTTGGGTGGAGCCGGGCCAACAGTGTGAGCCAGGTTTCTGGAGTCACAGATATGGCAGCCTTCTACAACCCCGGGGAAGGGCCAACCAAAAGAACACAGGTCTCCACCAGCATGTGTATATGAGAGAAAATTCCCTCTCCAGTCCTTATGCCGAGGCCAAACAGTTCTTCTCTTTATGTCTCTGGTGCCTTTCAAACTGCCTCCTCTCTGAGCTTAGACAAAGCAAGTCTGAGTAAGTCCATGCACTGGTCCTTTAAGAGCAGCTGCCTGGGAGTCTAGAAGCCTCAGCCTTCCTCAGCCTCAGTTCCTGCTAGTTGTACAGCCAGAAGTGATGAGGACTTCTGAACCCTGAGCTGGGCGCCTGGTGTTGGATGGGGACCCCTTTCCACCCAGGGAGGACTTTCACAGCTGAGGTGTCCCCACTTGATCTTTATCCCCCACAGGTGGGTGTGGGACCGGACCATTGGAGCCTATGCCCATCCTACCAGTCACTGTGGCTTCTTATTTCATTTCATAGTTGTAGGACTTCCATTCAACACTATTTCAGGCAGTTCCAAATGATGGTTGTGCTGTAGTTTAGTTGTAATTATGATGTGGTTGTGGGAGAAGGCAAGACCGCATTTACCTATGCCGCCATCTTGACCCGAAGTCCATGATCCTTTTAATGTATTGCTGGATCTGGTTTGCTAATTTTTTATTGAGGATTTTAGCATTTATGTTCATCAGGGATATTGGTCTATACTTTTCTTTTTTTGTAGGGTTTTGAAATTAGGAATGCTGGCCTCATAAAATGAGCTTAGGAATCTTCGCTCCTCTTGAATTTTTTAAAATAGTTTGAGAAAATAGGTGTTAGTTCTTCTTTGAATGTTTGGTGAAACTCACCTGAGAAGTTGTTCAGTCTAAAACTTTTGTTATTTGGGATTTTTTTAAATTACAACTTCAATTTCATTAGTTGTAATCTGTCTTTTCAAATTTTATAATTCTTTCTGATGCAGTTTTGGAAAAACTGCATCATATTTATAGGAAATGATCTATTTTTTCCAGATTGTCCAATTTGTTGGCATACAGTTATTCATAATATTTTCTTAATGTCCTTTGTATTTCTTTGATGTCAGTTGCTACTTCCCTTTCATTTCTGATTTTATTTTATGTCTGATTTTATCTCTTTTTTTTTTCTTGATGAGTCTGATTAAAGGGTTGTCAATCTTATTTATCTTTTCAAAAAACCAGCTCTTGGTTTCATTGATCTTTTGTATTTTTTTAGACTCTATTTCATTTACTTCTGCTCTGATATTTATTACTTCCTTTTTCTCCTCATTCTGGGCTTTGCTTATTGTTCTTTTTTTAGTTTCTTTAAGTGTTAAATGAGATTGACTTCTTTTTTTTGTTGTTCATTTCTTGAGGTAGACCTGTAATGCTATGAATTTCCTTCCCAGGACTGCTTTTGCTGTGTCCTATAGACTTTGGGTTGTTGTGTTCTCATTTTCATTTGTTTTAAGATATCCTTTGATTTCTTTCTTGATCTTATTGTTAACCCATTCACTGTTTAGTAACATGTTACTTAGTCTCCATATCTTTGTGTGTTTTCAGGTTTTTTTCTGTGATTTATTTATAGTTTTATACCATTATAGTCAGAGAAGATGCTTGTATGATTTCCATCTTCTTAAATGTAATGAGATTTGTTTTGTGTTTTATCCTAACATGTGGTTTATCCTAAAAAAAATGTTCCATGTGCATTTGAAAAGAATGTATATTCTGCTGCTGTGGGGTGAAATGCTCTGCATATAGCAATTAAATCCATCTGATCTAGTGTGTCTTTTAAGGCTGCTGTTTTTTTTGTTTGTTTTGTTTTTGTTTTTTGTTTTGTTTTCTGTCTGGAAGATCTATCCATTGATGTTAAAATCCCCTACTATGATAATACTACTATTGATCTCTCTTTTAATGTCTATCAACTTTTGACTTATATATTTTGATGCTCCTATGTTGGGTGCATAAAGAATTTTTAAAAATAATCTCGAAGAGATCCTTCTAAAGCTTGATGTATAAATTTAACTAAAATAGAATAATTTTCACCTGGCTGGAATGGTTCAGTTGGTTGAGCATCCTCCTGTGCTCTGAAACGTTGCCGGTTCTATTCCCAGTCAGGAAACATACCTGAGTTGGGGGTTTGACTCCTGGTTGGGTCATGTATGGAAGGCAACCAACTGATGTTCTCTCTCACACAGATATCTCTCTCTCTCTCCCCACCCCCTTCCTCTCTCTAAGCATGTCCTTGGGTGAGGATTAAAATAAATAAATAAATACATACATATATACATACATAAATACATAAAAATAATTTTTTATTAGGAAATCATTTGCCAAAAGGTAAGTGAAAAAGTATTTGCAACAGATATCATAGACAAAAAGTAAATTTCCCTAATATATAAAATGACACCATAAATAAAAAGCAAAATGAAGAATAATGTATCATATGCTTTCATTAGTGTAAAAGGGGGAATTTAATACATATTTTTAAATATGTTTTTATTGATTTTTTTTTAGAGAGAAATAAAGGGAGCAAGAGAGAGAGAGAGAGAGAGAGACATTGCTGTGAGAGAGAAACATCAATTGGCTGCCTCCTGCACAACCCTTACTGGGGATTGAGCCCACAACCTGGGCATGTGCCCTGACTGGGAATTGAATCAGGACCTCTCAGACAATGGGATGACACTCAATTCACTGAGCTACACTGGCCAGGTGAAAAAGGAATTTAATAAATAAATTTATTTCTGTATAAGTAATACATGTCTGGAAGTACATATGAGAAATTATTAATTATTGGTTGTCCACAAAAGGAGGAAAATGGGTGGCCGAGGTTCAGAACTGCAAGACAGATTTTCCACTCTATATTCCATTGAACTTTTTATTCATAAATAAATAAGTAAAATGGATTTAAACTTTTTCATTTATTAAAAAACAAACAAACAAACAACTGGGATCTGGGATCTTCATATTTTAATCAAGATTTCTGGTGCTTACCACACAGAGAAAAATCCCAAAATCTCAATGTTTAACATATATGAGGTTTGTTTCTCACTCAGTAAAGTATAATACATGTTATATATTAATATCAATGACATCTGGAACATGGCCTCCATGACTGGTTTCAGTGGAAAACAGGTATAAAACGTACAACAGTTCTAAAGTCCCAGCCCAGAACAGACAGATGTCACTTCTGCAAAGAGTCCATTGGTCAGAACCAGTTATATGGCCCCGCTTGACTGAAAGAAAGGCTGTGAAAGGAAGTGCATGCATGGCGTATCTGGTCGTCACTACTGCACTTTCCAGCGCTCAGTAAATTACAGTTGGCCCTTACGAATCGCTGACTCCTATGCAGTCAAAAATCCACACATAACATATTTTCATTAAATTTATTGGGGTGACATTGGTTAATAAGATTATATGTTTCCAGTGTGCAATTCCACAATACATCATCTGAATATTGTGTTGTGTGCCCATCACCCAAAGCCAAATCTTCCATCACCATATTTTTGACACTCTTTACCCTTTACTACCCTCCACCACCCTTCCCTCTTGTAACCACCGTACTGTTGTCTGTGTCTGTGAGTTTTTGTTTGTTTTTCATGTTTGTTCCTTTGTTGCTTTCAGTTTTATGTCTCACATATCACTAAGATCATATGGTTCCTAATTTTTTCTGTCTGACTTATTTCACTTAGCATGATGTTCTCAAGTTCATCTCTGTTGTCGCAAAAGGCAGTATTTCATCTTTTTTGTGGCTGATATGTATCACATCTTTTTTATTTATTTATTTATTTTTTGTTGATTTTAGAGAGAGAGAGATAGAAACATCGATGAGAGAGAACAATGATTGGCCGCCTCTTGCATGCCCCCCACTGGGGATTTGGCCCACAACCTGAGCATGTGCCCTGACTAGGAATCGAACTGATGACCTCTTGGTGCATGGGTCAATGTTCAACCACTGAGCACACTGGCTGGGCACATCTTTTTTTATCTAACCATCTATCAAAGGACACTTCAGTTGTTTTCATGTCTTGGCCACCGTGAATAATGAGCATAGGGATGCAAATATCTTTGCAAATCAATGATTTCAAACTTTTTAAGTAGATACCCAGAAGAGGGGTTGCTAGGTTATATACTAACTCTATTCTTCTTATTCTTATTATTTTTTTAAGAACCTCCATACTGTTTTCCATAGTGGCTGTACCAGTTTACATTCCCACCAGCACCGAATGAGGGGTCCTTTCTCTTCATATTTTCTCTAACACTTGTTATTACTTGTCTTGTTGATACTAGCCATTCTGACAGGTGTGGGGTGGTATCTCATTGTAGTTTTGATTTGCATTTCTCTGATAGCCACTGAAGTTGAGCATCTTTTCATATATCTGCTGGCCATTTGTATGACCTGAACAGACATTTCTCCCAAGAAGACATACAAACTGCACTTAACTTTTATTTTTTTCTGAACAGATTTTATCACACATGATGGGGCTCAGTCCTTCTTGGTTGCTGCCTTCCTCATGGCTACAAGGACATTACTCAGCTCCTCTCTCTTCCTCTTGGCACGGATGTGTGTCCCCACCCTTTTCTTGATGAATTTCAGGGCCCTATTGTCCTTAGAAACCTTGAGCAGCTCCATGGCACGCCACTCAGAGGGGGCAAAGCCACACACCTCTCGGATCATGTCCCGCACGACCTTGGTGTGCTTGATGAGGTGCCCACGGTGGCAGCTGTGCCTTGGCTTGCTCCTGTTCTTTGTCACCTTGTGGCCCTTGTTGAGGCCCACGGCCATCGGGTAGCGCAGAGCCATGGCTGTTGCTCCTCAATGGCTGCACTTAACTTTTGACTCCCCCAGAACTTAACTACAAGTTATCTCTTGGTCAACAGGAAATTTGTTTCAGGATCTCCTGCGGATACCAAAATCCATGGGTACTTAAGTCCCTTATAAAAAACGGTGTAGTACAATGCATAAAGTAGTTTTTAAATAAAGATATTAGAAATTATAAAGCCTCATCCTTTATGTAAACTCTTTTTTTATGTGCTGTTAATTTTACCATATTAAAGGGGCATATTAATACTCCAAATAAAGTCACATAAATGAGACCTCACAGGATGTCTCAGAATACCCTGGTATATCTTATCTTAAAAGTAGGAGAAGGAACTTTGACTTAGGACAGCAATGTAAATGTACTGTTGGTCACTCTTAATTTGAATATGATTTAAATTGTTTGTGTCCAGTCATTTTCAGCTATGCAAGGTATAATTAAACAATAGTAGTCCACACAGTCATTAGCCAAACAGTGTTTGGAGGCAGATGAGCTCATACTATCCATTTTGTCACAATCCTTCAGCCAAGTTCTCATGTATACAGCCAGTGAAGGCCACTGAGTGTATTCTACCCCCACAAATTACAAAGAAAGCTGAAAAGAAAGCCAGTACAATGTTCTGCTATCTATTTTTGTCCTGGAAAGAACTGTCTGTATTCATACTTAATTTTTGTCTCTCAGTTCTACTCTGAGTCCACAGTGCCAAACTGCTTTTTCTATTTTGCAGCAAGAGAAATGAGATCTCCTTCTGAAAGTTGAAAGCAATGAAATAGATGACTAGATGGCTTCTACATTGTTCTTTTTGGTACCAAGGGATGCACTGTAGACATGATTTAGCACATAATTTAGTTTGTCTCCTTTCTGTAAAAGTGTTTATTTACCAGAAGGATTCCTGTATCCAATTCTGAAGAATGCTAGCTGTCCAAAAGAAAGACTCAGGAGACAAGGTAGAAAGCCTTTGTAATTGGGACCTAGATTGAAGGATTACTCCCCAGGAGAAGTGAAGAAAAGAATTGGAGAAGAAATCGATCAACATTTCAGCAGACAGACCAACGCAAGTGAAATATATCTTAACATGTCATTTTAATGGGGCATGAAAGTGTCTGTAAGATCAATGTGTGAATGGGACACTTTACCTCTTACCAGGATGCTATTTTTGTTTACTTTTACTGAAAATACCACAAGGTCAGGGTGGGCTTTCTCAAGTAGAATGCTGAGTCATGAGCACACCCTACTGGTTTGGTGTGAGACAACAATAAAAGACAATAGAAGGTCTCAGATGTTTTTGTGAGTTAAAAAAAATAAAAAATAAAATAAAAACATGGACAGGAAACACACAATATTTCATGATTTTAATATTATACAAAAATAATAGTTCTATGTATTTTATGTATAGATTAACACAGATTATGATATGTAGTACATATGCTTCAACAGAATCAAATCTTTTCTGAAGTGTTTGGATATTTTCATATGCCTCCTTTCCCTCTTTTTCTGTTTTTAAGATTCTTGCATTTTCAGCTCTCATTTAGTTGTAGCACTTTGCACCCCGAGAAGGAGCATTCTGAAGCAAGTCAGTCTGATCCTGGATCCACAGAGCCACCTGCAGATGTCACGCTGAAACACTGCTCTTGACACACCACCTGTTTTTCCTTGTTCCCCTCGGTTTTTGCTTTCACCAAGCAAATTCTTCTAACAGCTGGGTGGTGCCAACACATGGAGCCTCCTGGGGAGCACATTTTTGCTCCACACTAGAATACCAAACTTAATTGTTCAGTCACATTTAGGGTACTTATTTCTATCCCATGGATACTCTGATCACGTTAGCCTTATTTGAATTAGAAAATGGAAGTATTGTCAGCCACACATAATGAACAGAAGTTTACTTAAATATGATTGTTTGGGACAGATCAATACGTATCCATAATTATGTAGCCTATTCTACTGTGGGTAGAAAATAAATGTGTCACCTGATCATATTCAACTATTCTCTTCCTGACTGAGAGACATTATCTAGAAAGGGATGCTCGGGGGATTGCAGTGATGAATTAAAATAGTTTGGGTTGCCCTGGCCAGTTTGGCTCAGCGGTAGAGCGTCGGCCTGCAGTCCAGAGAGACTCGGGTTCGGTTCCCACTGGGGGCATGTGCCTTGGTTGCAGTTTGTCCTCGGCCCTGGTTGGGTCGTGCGGGTGGCAACCATTCAATGTGTCCCTTTCACATCAATGTTTCTCTCTCTCTCTCCCTGCCACTCTATCTGAACAAAAATTGGAAAAATGTTCTCGGGTGAGGATAAAAAAAAAATAATAATAGTTTGGGTTTTTTTCTTCCATGTTGTTTGTTTTTTCACCCAGTAATAGTTACCAAGACCACTTGGCTATTTTTACATCATTTTATTACATCATTTTATTACATCACCATAGCAATTCATTGGAATTTCACTATTAATGTATTCTTAGGATCCAGACAATAGGGACTAGGAACTATGAACTAAATATCTATGAGTAAATGGGGACAAAGAAGAGCAAATTTATAATTCTGATTTTATGTAGTCCAACTTTTTGTTTTAGAGATCAGAAAACTGTATGAATACCACGATACAAAAAGAATTTCTTCCTAACTTTTATAACAAGCTTAAAAAATAATTCTGTAACCAAATATTAAACCTCTTCCAGTATAATAAAATAAAAATTCAAAAGAATTTGTGTAGACACAATATTTGACAAATAATTTTTTCCTTCCTTCCTTTTTTTTTTTTTTTTTTACTCAGAACTAACTCTGACCCAAAATAATTTCAACCACATGATCCATTTTAAGTTTCAACCACATCATCCATTAAGGCAACATTCCTTAATTTGTAGCTCACTCTTTCAAAAGTTTGACTCACACTATGTTTTTACTATTAAAATCTAATAGACAACTGGGTCAAAATAACAAAGTAAATTTAATGAGTCCAGGTGCTTTATCTACCTGCAGTTACCTTTATGAAATCTAACATGCGTATCACTACCAGATTAATAGAACAAAGAAGAGCTCAAATCATATGACTCAAAAGCCTTCAATGACTTCTTATTTACTTACAAAATTAAATTCTAAAGTCTTATCCTAACACACAAAGTCCTCTTTAGTCAACATCTCCATCTTACCTCCCATTATTCTTTCCTTTTGGACATTCCTATGTTCCGACCTAAATGAATTGTTTTCTGCTTCTTTGAATACTTCCTATTTCTTTTTCTATGGGACTCTGATGCTGTCCAAAAACTACCATCAAACAATCCAAATTCCATTCAAATCACATCTAAAAAGCAGTAATGATGACATAGTGATAAGGGTGGCAGTGGGCACTAGTGAGGGCTCATTATGTGTCAAACATTGAACTAAGCATGTTTTACATCTTGTATGTTCTAAGCACCCTTCATGTGTAATAATTTGTTTATTCTTCTTGATGACTTTAGATGGTAGGTGCTATTGTTAATGGGAAACGGAGATACAGTAATAAATAACTTGTCCCAAGATCCCGTATCTTATATGTAAAAGAGCTCAGATGGAAAATGGTGTCTTTTTCGTGAGTACTTTCTGATTTCTCAAATGTTATAAATAGACTGTATCCAGATTTTTCTGGCAGAACTTTTAGGCTGGTTTTGGTAGAATCTGTAGTTTTCAACAAATTTTAGCCAATGAGCGAAGAGTTGTTTGCACTGCTCTTACGTAAGCTCAGTGAAGTCCAGCTGTCTGCCTTCTGGCTTATTGAGGGAAACAAACATATTTTGCTAACACTGGCATTTGAAGGTGATAGAAATCAAAAACTGTTTCCTTGGGGTTGAAGTAACCACCAAAACTTTCTTTACTTAGGGACCTGAGTGCTGGTTGCTGGCAACATATTTTATGGTGGATCTTGAATTCAATGATAAAATTTAAATTAAAACAAGCTAAAAATCATAGATGTTTTTATTTTCATTAGGCAATTGAAATACATGCTACAAAAATAAGTGGTAAGATTATTGTAAAATGAAATAGACATAAAAAACATTCAATTTAAATTTTCCTCTGTGAGGATTTCACAGTAAAATTCTCGTTGACTCTGTATTTAAAAATATATATGAGTCAAGAAAACATCACCGTAATCAAAGAAAGATTCCAGAAGCAAGATCATTTACCTTGATGCCAACAAAGGGCACACTGAATTTTCTATGTTAGTGGATAAATATAATTAATTTTTTAAAAATTTAGATAGGACTAAGATAGAGATTCTTAGAATGTGGTACCAAAAGTTCTTTAGAGGACTCTGCAAGGTCACACTGCTTTATAATATGTTCAGTGTTTCAACATTTACACTGATGGTACAAAGGCGGTGGTGCCAAGCTGGACCAGGCATTCCCAAGGGGGAAGAATTTCAATTAAGAATGTCCTTGAGTCCGGCCAGTGTGTCTCAGTGGTTGAGTATCAACTCATGCTCCAAGAGGTCGCCAGTTCGATTCCTGGTCAGGGCACATGCCCAGGTTGTGGGCCCAATCTCCAGTGGGGGCATGCAGGAGGGCGGCCAATTGATGTTCTCTCTCATTGATGTTTCTATTTCTCTCTCCTCTTCTTTTCTCTCTCTCTAAAATCAATAAAAGCAAAACAAAACTTTTTTAAATAAAAAAGTCCTTGAAAAAGCAATATTATTTATTAATTTTATTAAATCTAGACCCATGAGAGCACGTCTTGTCGATGTTCTGTGTGCAAACTTGAAAATTCGTAGGCTGTGTTTATGTTGTACACCAAAGTAGGATAGTTGTCTCAGGAAACCATTTGTGTGGTGGAGTTGGAGCTGAATAAGATGTTTTTATCATCATATAGTATTTTTACTTGAAAGAGGAAGTAAAAGGCAAAATATGGTTATTCAATCTTGGGTATTTGGCAGTCATCTTCTCAAAAATGAATAAAGTGAGCCTCTTACTTCAAAGAAAGCAACTGACAGTATTTGTTGCCAGTGATAAAATGGGAG